ATTCTATTCTATAATGTTTTAGTTGAAACTTTGAAATTGTATTGACCAATAAACGGTAGTGCTTGATAAGGAATACTTTAAAATAAAGTACTGTAAGAGTACTCTGTACACAAACTAGTAAAAGTACCGGAAATAAGATTTATTTGACCACTTAAGAAATCAGCTAAAGCTTATTGCTTACGAGGCAAAATATGGCATTTCAATAGACAGCTTTGAGTATAAATCAAATTATAAGAAACTCATTTAAATACACCATATAGTCCCTATATAGTTGATGGAACAACAAGATACAGATTCATTTGACTTATACTTTGATTTAACAACTAAAAAGTCTACGATGCCCAATTAGTCGCAATGAAGTTGTATTTGGGTTCTGGTGATTGAGATTAAAAAAATTAAATGCATGCAAAAATGTGTAAAATTAAAAGTCCAAACTGAGTACCTATACCATATTTTAACCTATTTGATCGCGTAGGTAAAAATGAGAAACAAGACTAAGATATGTTACAGCATGGTATGCGCTTATGGTAAATTTGAATTTGAATATGAGAATGATATGAAACAGACACCGGTCAGTGTTGGATGTTAATGAAAGCAGAAGACAGGCAATGGTCCTTAAGATAAGGGTGGATTTACAGTCTGGTCACCAGCCTAATGCATATTAATGTGTAAGGGGTAGTCCTTAAACTGCCCTTTACAACCCTTTACTAACTGGCTCTCATAACATATTGTATGAATATGATTTCTAAGGAAATATTATAAAAAGTGTAGGGTGCTCAATAATTCAAACTTTTATAATAAATATTTTCACAAAATGTATACAATTTGTGTTTAACCTCCTAGTTATGCATTAGGCATTACAGATAATTTTAAGTCAAGTGATTATTCTGAAAAAAAACTTTCATGCACTATTTTTGGAGTGTACCAACGTCAATTTCTTTCATAATAATTCAGTCCAACTATGTGTGTTCAAGTGTGTTCCAACTATAATTATTTGCTATTGAACATAGAGGTATGGCTACAGTCCAAATCTGTATGTAACCGAACGTCCCTGAGCACGTCAGCTTGACATCTCAACACGATGTCAAAATAATCTGCTTCTAGGGATTTCTCCTTATGTCTCGAATGCACCGAGAAAATGAAAATAAATAATATACTATGTATATGCCTATACAAGTTAAATGTACATTGCTTCCTAAAGAATGCATCGCAGAATATAATGTCATACAACTTATTAAGGAACTGTTTTGATATTCGATCTTGAACACTAATTTATTATACGGTATAATTTTCAACTGTCCCATAATTAAATTTAGTACTTCATGGAACAATGAAAAATATTAAATTTTCAAAATAGAATATAGAATGCTATATTGGTCAAGCCTGTATAATTGGAATGTTAAATCACAAAGAGTGTAACTCTCCTCCCTCCGCTCTCAAACCCTCAAAGAGGCCCCCAAACTCTAAAAAAAAAATAAATAAATAACTGCATCTTGATGTTATTGCATTTAAATTATTGATTTCATACAACCATTAACATTGAAAACTTTCATATGAGTATTAATATATTCATATTTTAATAATAGTCTACCTAAATATACCAGATATTTGGAATAAACAAAGTTCAAAGCATGAATACAGAAAAAAGATTATGAATAAAATTATTAATTTTAATCCTTTAATCCTTTTATCAATGTGTCTTATTTATATCACAATTTTCAAAAAAACGATAAATTTATTTTGCAACGCAAAATAGGGTTACAGTTGTAAATTTTGATTGTATTTTACCTCTTACTAACATGTTAGGTATGCTATTTAAAGTCATTAGTACAAACACAGAAGTAAAGTGACCTCTGAGGAAGTAAGAGAGGGGAAAAGTTTCCAAGTTATAACTTCAGTCGAGACTAATGGTTCGGAAACAAAACCGGTGACAGATTCTGAGAACTTGACCTGACACTAGTACTTTCCTGTGGACTTAGTATTTCAACTTCTGTGCAAATATTTAACTTTTTCCATACATTTAGAAATATTTATTTTAATGTGCGTCACATATCTAAGGAAAATATCAAATGTTACATAACGTACGATTAAATTAGTAGGTACAATTGTTGGGGAGCTGATCTAGTAGTAGAACGCGGGAATTCGGTCCCAGTGATAGTGGGTTCAAATCCCGCAGATTGCCAATAGATTTTAGTGCTCGAGCCGCGATCAAGCTTGGTGTCGCAAACCATCGCCAAGTGATGCCGTGAGTATGTGGCCCTTTATAATAGTATCATGTCGTATTGGGAGAAAATCAATATGTAGTGACAGTGATAATTGTAAGTTATTCATGTTCAGAAATATCATAGATATGGGTATACGACGGCAAAAGAATTCGAAATTGACGTACAACTCATATTGTAAAATTTATAGTGAACGAATAGTATTAAGTTGTGGATTGAGAACAATACATCACTACTTTTGGTAAACTTACTTTCAAATTTTTTTAAAGAGCGCTACACAAAGTGCCCGTTCACAAGATATTGGTCCTAAAAATAACGAAATATCGTATCTTACTCGCTACATTCTGAATGAGTAAAAATTATAATTTTGACTTATGGCTAGCCAAGCATGAAAGGGTGTTCCTCGCAGATAAGCTAATGTTTAGGGTCGGCTACGGGCCGATGAATATTAACATTGCTTGGAGGAGAGGCAACAAGTAAACCAGTTCATTGCTTGTCACATGCGAAATTCCATTATATTCTTCAACTAATAACGATGGTGAAAAAAACATTTGATATTTTCTGAATATTAATTAGGCGTATAAATAGTATTTACTTTAGATTCACTGGCAACATCGTAGCATAGATTACGTGTATGGGGTTTGAATATGTTCAATGAGTAGTTTTGATAATACTAAATTTATTCAAATGATACTCAATACAATTTAAAAGAAAATGAACATAATTTATGATTTTGTTCCTTTTTATACTACAAAATATAAAATAAGATATTAAAAAATTAAACTGACTTTGGGTTAATGGATTTGCAAAATGGCTTTTCCAAACGCATTAGTGTAGCATTAACATTAATGCCTTAAGTTAAATTATTTGTTATTATGTTACTTATTATATTATTGCTTCATGATTGAATAACGTGATACATAAAATGTAAACGTACTATACCAACTTTACGTTAAGACTTGTCACGGGCGTTATGTATGTTTTTTCTGGGAGTAGACAAATAACCAACACAAATACAAATAAACAATACAAATAATACACAAATAATACAAATACAAATAACCAAAAACGTTTCGTTGATACAAATAATCAATTCGAAAGCATAAACACATTTTTCAAAGCTAAATTTACTTTACTCGCACTGCTGTATCCACTTGTTTGGAATAATTATATAATGACTTGTCTACATCACTTTACTGGAGTCTAAATGTGGATTCAGTCCAAAACATCGTGGTGACTCGAGCACCGAGTGGTATGACAGGGTGGTTGACAACTACATGCGACTGTTGAAATGGACTTGGTTACATTTAGTGGCAAGATTGTCAACAGAACATGGAAGTATGAAGACGTTCCCGAAATATGGGGTGACTAAATGTTACAGTTTGAGCTAAACAGTTCAGACCAGCTGATAGGAAAAAGTATGTTAGAAACAGCTTTTATAAGAAATGTAAGACAATAATTTTTTTTTCCTTATAGTCGTTGTCATGTATTCTAAAAGAAGACTGATATAAAGTGGTGCTGAATGTTCCATGTACCATTCTTAAGGTTTTTAATATCGATGTCTATAAAAGATGACGAAGGTACAGAAAAGTTGTACAAAATGAAATTTTTCCTAACTTTAGACTGAAAACCATAAATGTCATAGAACCATCACCCATTGAAACACCATGATAACTTCACCATCAACACAGCCTACGATTTACTATCACCTTTACGATCTATACTAGTTATTCTTGTCACACGTCAAATGTAATACAAAGAGCATATTTAGTGAAATGTGAGAACAAAGAGAACATTATGACAAGATAAATGATAGTATGACCCAAGAAAAGTCTCTATGATTTTTAAAAGCGTTTCTTAAAAAATAAACAAGAAGATGGTTTATATTATTTTGCAAGATTCAGTTTATGATATTTATTTTAATTTGATGTTTTCAATTTGTAACCTAGAATTTTTTGTTAAAACAAAATCGTAAATTAAAGTCAACTTTAAAACTCAATGTCAAGATTTACGAGTGTAAATTTGAGAGCGTTCCCCTTGAGGAAATGAGAGTGGCAAACTTTGTAGTTTTGACTCAAGGCTCGCCTAATGGTTCGGAAACAAACTGGAAGATAGATTTGTCCTTTCCCACCCCGCCTGCTGAAATAGCAAAGTCTTGTCAAAACTGTTACAAATGATTCCACTCATCAATTTAAAATGTGGACAAGGAGAAGAATATTTTTGGATAAACGCGCGGATGGAGAATATTATTAGTTTGGTGGTAAAGTTTTAATAAAACCTCGGTTAACAAGGCCAAATTCCAAGTTACTTTCGCAGATAATGGAATTACGGAGTTAGTCAGGTGCGGATAATGGACCCAAGTTTGTCTGTGTTTGTTGGAGTCCAACTCGTTACAAACAATCAGACTTGGTGGCCAACTTATTACGTCATTCTCAGAAACACCTAGCAAAGCTGTTTGGTCCACCTTAAATTGAGGCCAACTTTGTTTACTGTCCTGGCTGAACGATGCATATTTTAATTAGTTGTATTTCTGTCAGTGTTTTCGATAATGTCTATCCTCATCTATTAGTATTTTTTCTTCTTCTTTTTTCTACTTTCTTTTAAGTATTTTTTGACGATCTTAGGTATGGCACTTATTTGTTATCTACAAACTATTTCAAGCTTTTCTGTTAAGGCTGCATAAACCCTATAAAGCCAATTTAATCTTGTCTGCCTCAGTAAAACCCAAAACATATTATGTCACCGAGATACATAACTTATCTCTACATTTATTTTCAGGTTTAACCAAGCCGCAGCCATTGCTGACGCTGCAATACCAGAAATTAAGGTAAGAATTAATGCATAATTTCAAACATATCCAGCACATGTCGTAAAATTGGCTATTCGTATTGGGCATTTTGGTTCTGAAATATCTATGTATAAAGATATTTACTACTAATTAGTTATTCAAGGATTTATTAAATTGGAAACTTAAAAAAACCAAACATTTGAAAAAACACATTTATGGTCTACTTTATTTATCTAGAGTCTTAAATAAATAAAAAAAAAACATCCCAAACTGAAGATAATAATTTCAAACTCAAGTCTAGAAAATCTAGGTTTAATTTTGGATTCTTCACAACGACGGGCGCAATGAATACCCTTTCACTTCCAAATTAAAATTCTTGTCTTTCCCACGTTTAAGATTACAAGACGTAATCTCAGCAGTTTTATCTTCGCAGCATTTGTGTTCGCGACACCTCTGCTCATTTACAACATTCTATTAAACTTAGGCTTACTACCTGTTCTACATGCCTAAGATTATCTGTATTTGCTGGTAAAACTCAGTTTTTGGCTTAAAATTTGCTATTACGTTGCAGATCCTTGAAGGTGCTTCAAGAAAAAGCAAAATTAGTTAGAAGAATTTTAAATTCAAATTAATCTGATTTCTCCAAGGAATAAAGGTCAAACATTATTTCCAAAGGTTTAGTAAAGAATTAAACTAACCCCGTTAAACCATAGTATAAAAAATTCTGAAAAAAGAGCACTTCTCTTATCACTCATTATACCATTGTAGTGGGATCAAAATAATATGCAAGAGTACATAGGCTATGTTTGTATGCATGTCTTTCCTTGTTATAATGGGTTATATGGTCTCACTTAGTCGTATATAGGAACACAATACACTTTTTTTTACACAAACTGACCCAGGTAAACGTTTATAAAAACATAAATTTCCTAAATTCTCTTAGGTTGGTATGCAAATTAAAAAAATACAAATTTTGAAATCACATGTTTTTCCCGCAAAAAGAAGGTACTCGTAATATGACCAATAATGGGTACTCACTCAGTCAAGTATGAAAATATTAATTCTAAAAAACCCACTTTTATATATATTTAATAAGACAATTTAGCTGGTAGAATAAAACTTTTATGTTTGATAAGTTTGCAGTTGTTTATACGAGTAAATAAATTCATTGAATTACCTTAATTTTGTTCAATTTATGTAAAAACGCTGGAGTCAGGGTAATGAGAAAATAGTAGACTAGCGTTGTAGAGGGAGGCGATGATGCTTTTCGGATATGGCCAATCCACAGTAAGCACCACTTTGCCGTTGCAGGTCTTTTATTGTACAGAAGAAATTTGCAACTTGAAAACGTTGAGGTGTTTTTCGCTTAAGACAATAAAGCGTGATAATAAAAATAACATTGCTGTTATAAGATGTTTTCATTTTACTAATTTACATTAATCTTGTGTACAAATCAATACTTACTCTCCTTTTAAAGTTAAGTATCGTTACATAATAATTATTAATTAGGTTTTTAAAATAAAATTATATCCAGAAAAATTGTGTTACTGTATTGAAACTATCCCCTCACAGGGTTGTCCATGTTGTCCTGTAACAAAAATAACAATAGTTAATAGCATTAACTGGTGTAAAATACACTCACTGTACCCTTCTATGTAAGCTATCGTCTGTTTAATAAGCAGTAAACGTCAAACATTTGTTTAGTTACGTAATGAACTAAAATGAAGGACATATTTGACACATTAAACAGTATATTTATCATTGCAGCATGACGAAAGTCATGTTTAAGAAATTGAACATTGTATCTGATCCCAAAAGTAAATATTGTCAGTGGAGACCAACCCATTCTGAAGGTAAAGTGCTTGGTTAGGGACGGACATTATCTGAACGTCATTGACGCCTGTGTAATCTCCATTCTACACTTTACACTTTCACATAGTCCTGACGTCAGCGAAACGGACGCGTTGCAGAAAGTCAACAGTCCCGGAAGGTCAAATAATTTATACCTGTGCCGCTAGGTCAAAAACTACAATGTTTGCAGTGTCTGTAGATCAAAAATCCCAGTAAGTCAAATATTACAGTCCGAGCTAAAAACGTGGTCTATGTTAAAGCAATTGACTTATTGGGAATTTGACCTAATGCAACAGCAGTTTTAATATAACGAAATAAGATAAAAGTTCAGTTTCGCTGAGTCAACAGTGCCGGAAGGTCAAAAGTAGAATCTGTTAAAAACAACGATAGTCCTCTCGACGCATGACTTCAATAATTTCGTGTTTTGGTGTACTTAAAGTTGTGCTAAAATTTTGAAAATTGGCACAGAGCTTCTTGGTTAGTCCTACTCGATGACTATTTTGTTGGAACTTTAAACTATTTACCGATCTAATTAATAAAAATTGATATGTATGGTGAAATAGTTTTAAATCGTGATTTCTAACATGAAAAAGTTAGCATGCGAGATTTCTTTTTGTTTTTGGGTTAGAGAGGTTTCGTCAGTGGCAAAGTTGTAGCCAAAAGTGTGATGCGTAAAATATATTTTTTTGATTTTTTTACAATAAGTGGTTCAATAGATAACTTGGGTTGAAGAGGACGGCAAATTTAGCATTTCGCAACGCATGGAAAGAACTACATCGTACGATGCGACTGCTGAGTGGACTTTTAATTTACAGTTCTAAGAACAAGAAAAAGATAAATATACAGATCACCAGTACATTCATTATATTTATAAAACATCTTTCTGTATTACCAGCTTACATTTTTCACTTATACATCATAAACAGGGTGTTAAAAATAAGCGGGGAGATACTTTACCTAATAATTCCTTGGGTCAAAATAAACAGAAAATCAAGGATAACATTTTTTACGAAATAGTTTCGTTAACCAGATATCCACCATTTTGTATTTTTTACATACAAATATTTATCTTTGCACTTTTCCAACCGATGTTTATGAAACTTGGTATGTATGTTAAGGGAGGAGAGACCCATGTTATAAAAAATGATTCATCTCGATTCACCCTAAAATTTTAAAATTTAACACTTAACTACAATATAATATACTTTACTACACCACAATATTTACGTATCACCATAAATCTTTAACAAAATAAAACGTTAACATTTTCAAAATCCAAAGTAAATCAATATAATCTTTCTTTTTTGAAAAATATATTTTAAAAAATGCGATGGTAAAATAACGACAGGCGAGTTTCGATCTGGGTGTTTCAGGTTTGAATCTAGGAGGATTTAACATTAATTAGGTAACATTAATGTTTAATCCTCCTAGGTTTGAACTGATTGAGAGGAATAGATGAAACCGAAGGGGGGAGGTAGCAACAAGTGTACTAGTATTTACTAGTGTCCAATTACAATTTCATGGATTTAACCAAAACCTTTTCTATTTCACTTATTTTCAGCTGTTAAATTTCAAACGATACGTTTTAGCGACATCATTAACGTTATTATCATCATCATCGTTTGAGTTTGGGTTTGCGGCAATGTATTTTTATGAATAAAACCTTTAATTTGATACCAAACTTGACCTCTGCTGCTATTAATTGACTGTATGCACTATTAATTAACAGCTGTGTCTAAGGATTATGTCGGCCTTAGTCACAAACAGGACAACGAGATCGCTCCACTCATCCCACACTCAACTCCATTCATACTTGGCTTAAAATGCACACATTTGTATGGTCGCCATTTCAAAGCAACATGGCTACATTATCAATGACAAACGTGGAAAACCTTATACGAGTGTGAGTAAGTCCGGAAACAGAGTAAGTCCGAAAACAACTCTAAAAAACAATAAGAAATAAATTGCAAGAACCGTTGCTTATATCATTGGGTATACACGTATGTACTGACGTGTATACTCAATGCTTATATTGAACGAATGTACATCGTGAGAATTTCCATTAGTTGTTCCATTTAGTTGTGTGTCCATTAGTATAATAGTTTAGTTGACTCTTTTAAAGTCAGCGGAAATTGTGACTGTTATTACCCTTGAAATAATGTTTGTGTAGTACTTTGCAATCCTACCAATACTTATAGAATCATACGATTACAATTTTCTGGTTAGAATATGTCGCATAGAGTGGTGACTACTGTATCTTTTTGGTTTGCTTGTGAAACAGGATCAACAGAGATTTTCCATCGACTCAAACAATACGATACTCTCAAATTGTTCATTGCTATAACAAACTATCACACAGTTTGATGAATATTTGTGTGTAAACCAAATACAGTACACCTGTATTCTATCTATTTTCCTTTTATTTTTCCAAGACTTTATAGAAAATCACGCATTACGTGATCAGTGAAGAAAGGCTGTATCCCATGTGTTTTATAGGTAAAGAAGGAAAGAAGAACACTGCTTCAGGTCAGAGCATTCAGTTATCATCAGCAATTGTAATTCCCGAATCAGTAACTGAGTCAATAGTCAATTATGTTCGGGTTTGTTGATTATTTATAATGCACTTTACATGCTCCATTTGATAGTTTATAATAATTTACTCGGAATCTATAAGACACCTTTGGCTTGTATTAAATATTGGGTTGGGCCGTTTAGTATTTTGAATACAATAGGGGTACTCGTCAAACAGTTAAATATTATTATTTCTATGAATTTAATGGGTAACTTTAAAGATTAGGTGGAATTTATAACAATACTTCACCGTAATCAGCAGCAAACATACATAAGGAATTCCAGTTATTACAACAGACACTCTGACAGCCCGTCAACATAAGACCTGCAGACGGGTCAACGAATATGCTGAAAAAAATAACGAGATAAGTGAGTGTAAAGTGACTATTTATATCCGGTCGTCATACGCCACGAGACATTCCGTCAGTGAATGGGAGGCCCACACAAGGGTGAAGATCGATAACGCGCTGCATTTGGAATGGAAAAATTTGCACAGGTCCTCGAAAAGTACTAAATTCCCGAGTCCCGAAAAAGTCAAGTGCCCAGAATGTCTTATACACATACGGAAATTCAAGTCCTCAAAATATTGCAATAGTGTATTTTCGTATAAATTCTTG